TCTCCAATATATACATTGTGAAGCAACATCATTAACTTGGGAAATGGTATGTAAAGCACACGACACATTTCATGTTTCACTAGAAGACATAAATACTCAAACTAATTTTGTTCTTTTTCGCAAAGCCGTTTTTTCTTTCTGCTAAGGAAGAAAATATTGGGAAATCACAGTGCAATTAATGATAGTATATCATACGAGGACTGGATCGACCCTTTTGTCATCCATTAATCTCATGCATATATATTGTGACCCTTTTCCTCGTTTTCCTATCTATATGAAATAGGCACAACACCTGGGAAAAATACTCATCTGATAAATCAGCTCCAAATAAGATATATGCGTGCAAAACTGAGCTAGCTATGGATTAATGCAACTCATTAAATAATTTCATTCACCATACAAAATTGCTGGAGCTGGACACAAGGTCGTTAACCTATAGATCTAATTTAGATCGGCTAATTTCAAGTAAAACAGCACCAAATCAGCTCAAGAAACAAAGAATCACATGAAATAACCTGAAAGATTAGTTCTAGCTACATCAAAGTATCAAACACAATCTGACACACACACATATATATAGCAGCTCAATTGCAGTCTTCATTTATTTATCAATTAGAAGGGGATCGATCGATCCGGAGCTATTTGCAACCCAAGTCTCGAAACACAAAGTCAAAGAGAAGGAAGGCAGATATAATATCGGAGAAGCTAAACACCAAATATAGCACACGCAAGCACAGCTCCAACAACTGTCAACTGAGAACACTAGCAAGCTGCTCGATCGATCTGTTGATCACTCCTACTCCTCCTCCTCCTCCTGTTTCTGATCTGCCTCGGGAGCCGGAAGGTTCAGATCAACGTCGAACACGATGGGCTTCCGAGCTTCTTCGGCGACGGCGAGTTCCTCCCTTTCGAGCCAGGAGCAGCCTTTCTTACCATTGTGGCTAGCACGGTGGCCGCCGAGCGCCTGCCGCGTCTGGAACGGCATCTTGCAGCGGTCGCACACGTACGGGTAACGGATCTCGGCCAGGGGCGGCGGCCGGGGCGGCTCCATGCCGCGCCAGCTGCGGTCCGTGTGGCTGCGCATGTGGCCATGGACGGCCTTGGCAGTGGCGAACATGCGGAAGCAGATAGGGCACCCGTAGGGCTCTACCTGTGCTCCACCGGGGACGGCGGCCGGCCTCTTGCTGCCACGGGCGATGGCAGGGACGACGGCGTCCACCTCGTGCAGGGACTTGAAGGTCCAGGGGTACCTGGGGTCGTCGCCTCCTCCGGAGCCTCCCGCGACGAGGTAGTGGACATGGCCGGCGGCGGGCATGACGAACACTTGCGAGCTCGATCCGTTGAGCATGCTGTGGGTTGTGGCTGCCGTTTCTGTATTTGTGTATGGACACTCTAGATGCACTGTGTATTTGTGTATATGTAGCGGCTTGGGAGTTGGGACTGCTGAGTAGGTGGGCCGCACCGCCGCAGCACCATCTATCAATGTACTACTTGGAGTATCTGTTTATCAGTTCTATGTGGTCTTTATTAATCTATATTAGTGTCACCGGTGGGGAGATTGTAAGCTTTTCTAAGAAACATTTCCATACCGGCATGTGCAGTGGAAAGAGAGAAATCGTCTGTTGTAGTCTTTTTTCAGTTGGTAGTCCCCTTACCCTCGCATACCGTCAAGTCTCAGAGCTGATTTTTACCTTATAGACAATAACCTTATAAGAAAATCCCCCCCTTTAATAATTATAAATGTTCGGCTAAAATCAAACCTGCAAAATTAGTTTCAAGTACAACAAAGCCAATCACATTTTTTTTCTGAAGAAAACCGGCGCTGATAGCTAGCTTTTTCAATATGACCAGACATCAGTATTTGCAACCACAGCGCCCTAACTATTAACGCAGATAGGAAAAGGAACAAAAAAAAGTATCGACGAAGAAAAGGAGACAACAAAAGGTTTTGTCAAATCTGACGTTGGCTTCCAGGATTGTCAAGGCTGAGCCTATGTAAGCATTGCAACCTAGTTTATATGGTTTGATCTCAACTAGGAAGCTTCCCTTTTCGCAAACAAAGGAAAGTAGGAAGCTTCCATATAGTGCAGCCCATATCCGATGTTGGTATATCGTAATTTCACTTGCAGACGAAAGTGTTTGTAATTCAGTTTCTAGTTGGGGAGAGAAGCCACCCCTAGATTTTGCAAAAAACTGTGGGCTGGTTTGGTGACATCAATACTGAGCACCGTCCTAACCCTCTCACAAGCTGTGCACTTTCAGCCGTCGGATTTCATGATCTTACCCTCCTAGAGCGTTCTAATATCATGTTTCCCCTTGGGCTCCATCCACGCTTTACAGATTCCATAGGAAAAATTATAGCCCATAGGTTAACTAAGCGTCTCTACATCGCAAGAAGCCAACTAACTCACTGGTCTCCACATGTGTGGCACTCGGTGGATGCACCGATGTTTAAAGGAAAAGGAGCACCACTATATCTAGATTTCCATGAGGAGGAAAATACATGATGTCCATTGTTTGTGATGTAGTAAAAACCCAAGACCGCCTATGTAGGATTCCACCAAGAAAACCAGGTATTGGTCGGTGTGATCCCCTAAAAAATAGTCATGGTCGATCAATGAGTGGTTCATTTTGAGAGGGTGTCATTGAGCGCGTGGTCACCGTGCCCCCTATGATTGAAAGTTTTGTACATATACCCTTCAACTGCATATGTAAAAAAAAGCAATTTCTACTTGGGCCCGTCTAAATTTTAGTAGCATGTATCCCCCCTTCCTTGGCTCCGTCCTTGGCTAAGCCGCATCCTAGTTTGTGATCATATCTAACAAACACCTCATCACAAATGGTGTTGGCTCCTTCCCCGTCTCTCACTCCTCACAACGACACACATCATCTCCAAAACGCACCTCCTGCTTTACCTTGTGGAACGACATCTTTGTGAAGTTACTCAGGGCTGAAGCTTCAAAGGATGTTCTCAACTCACAATTCTCTTTCATGTTCCCTTTTTTTTGCTACTTGTAAGACCTGTTGTATTTCCATTGAACAACTATGGAAAGAGGATTAGCTCTATTAGAGAAAATTTTGTCAACTTACTATTTCACAAAAGAAGGCCAAGTTGTGCCCCCAAGTATGACATGTAGTAGCTTCTTCGTTGCCAAAAAAGATATATGGTTTTTTCCTAAATGTTATATACCGCTTATAGCAGTATCTAGCACAGGAATCACAGGCTAGTACTCGGTGTGGGCCAATGCCCAATAGCATGGGACTGGATGGCGTGCATTCCAATTTTTTGCATCTGGCTTTGCTTCGTTTTTTCTTCCCAGCATGCTTTTTTTAAGTCGTTCGATTTCCATTTTCAATTTTACTTTTTTATTTATTTTGACTTTTGTCTTTTGTGTTTTTCCTTATATATTTTTTGTTCATTCTACTTACAAAATTCTAATTTTATTTACATGTAATATAAATATATGTTGAAAAACAAGTGAACATTTGAAAACCAAAAGAAATTTTAGAAAAAGTATGTGAGCACTTTTTAAAGTGACATGATATTTTTAAAATAGGTGAACACTTTTTTGGAATAATATATGAACATTTTTATAAAATGGATGAACATTTTTATATTTCATCACTATATTTTTAAAGGCCGTGAACACTTTATAAAAGCATACTACTAATTTTTCAAAATACATGAAGACTTCTTTCAATTAAATGAGTACTTTTGAAATGCATGAACACTCCTTTGAAATTTCATGAATATGTTAAACTATATGAAAAACTTATTTAATTACCCAGATATTTCTAAAAATACATGTAAACTTTTAGAAATGTACAGCAATATATTTTAGGAGTAAATGAATATTTATTTTGTTCATATGGTTGTATATTATTTTTAAAACTAATATCTTTATTATGTCTTTTTGTTTACTAACTGGTAATATTGTATATTTTCTCATAAAAAATTGAAAATGAAAAACATGAAGCTGTTTTTGTAATAATCATGTCCCATTTAGGCTCCGGCTGGGCGACCAGCAAGCTTCCGCTGGTCACGTTTTCACAAATCTTTATAGGGAGCTTCTCTATTTTTTGATTACCTTCCTAGCATATGTATAAGACCGAATCCATCGAAATCGATTTTGAAAAAGAACTACTAATCCTTAACTTTTCCAGGAATCCTTCATCAGTGGTTGTGAATGACTGACATCCTTTCGACCTTGGTTCCGTAGGAGCAAGTCAGAAAGGTTGAGAAAATCTATAGGGCCCTCTGATCTGCCGCATTCTGCGATAGACTAGCGGGGCTAGGCCAGTCTTTGCTTATTGGGCGGCCCACACAGGAGCAGCTAGTGGTGTAAAAAAACAACCCAAAAAAAGAGATGCTTCGGCAAGGATCCTACTCGTGAGCTGGCACCAGTAGAAGAAGCTACCTAACCACCGGAGCTAATCAGCAGTAGTGTTAAACATGCAGGCGAAAACCTTTAGAACTAACTGTATCGGCAAATCCATATATTTTCTCTCTTTTCAAACATTTAATGAAATCTCCAAATAGTTTTAAAAAATTGGAACAATTTTCAAAAACCCAAAATAAATATTAAAAATTACCAATTTTTGAATTTGTAGCCCAATTTAAAAACGGAAAGAATTTATGAATTTGCAAACAATTTTTGAAAAACAGAAATATTTTGCCATTTCCAATATTTTTGACAGACACCAAATTTTTGGAATTTGCAAACAAATTTATAAAAGGGAACTTTTTTTAGCCTTGAAAACAATAGGAGAGGCTCCTACTGTGTAAATTAATAAAGAATCAGAGTCCCAACTTTACATGTATGTTACATGGGAGGGTGATGAAGAAGCACCAACCAGGGGAACTAAGCTAACAAGAAAAAGAAGGTAAAACAGTAACTATTTACAGAGATTGAAGCAAGGAGGTAATGAACTCCTTATGGGTATCCTTCACCCTATGAGTGAGGAGACGTAGGTCTGCCACGTATCTATGTTTCCAGGATGTTTCGCTAGGTGGGATTCTTCGGAAGACTTTGTCATTTCGCTCTTTCCAAATGCTCCAAGCAGCCACCAGGAAGACCTCCATGAATAATGGCTTGTCCCATGTTTGTTTAGCAGCCTCAATCTTGCGGAGACGGCAGTCATCCGACGTCCAAGATATATGTAAGTTGTTCCAACAGTGGATGCTGAAGGGGCATTCGAATATCATGTGGTTGATGGTTTCTTCAACATGAGATTCACACAGTGGACAGTCGTGGTTGTCTCCTCCCATATTGTAGTGTCTACGTTTGAGCATATTACTGGTGTTGAGTCTGTTATGCATCAAGAGCCAGCCAAAAACCTTTATCTTCATTGTGTTTTTGAAATCATTATTTTTTTGAATTCATGAAAGAATGTTGAACATCTTTTGAAAACATGGAAAATTTAGACAAAAGGGAACATTTTTTGCATCTGCGAACAAAATATGAAACTCTGAACAAAATTTAAAAATGCGAATCTATTTTATTTATGCATTAGTTTGAAAATTGGAACATTTTCTGCACTTATGAACCTATTTTAAAATCGAACATTTTCTCAAATATGCAAACATCTTTTAAATATCAAGATATTTTTTGAATTTTGAACAAAATTTGGAACAGGAACATTTCCTGAACTTTTTTTTGATAGGTGTACATTTTTTAAAATATGTGAATCTTACTCTAAAATCACCAATGTTTTTAGAAATTCGGAAAAAAAATTAAAAAATAGGGACATTTATTGAACTTCTGAACATTTTTGAAATTTCGAACCAATAATGAAATTCTGAAAAATAAGAATTGAATGAAAAGGAGTATAAAATGGATTACAAAAGAAATTGAAAAACATAAAAAAATACGTAAAAAATAAAAAAATGAAACAGAAAAAAATAAAAAGGAGGAGACAGGAAAAGGAAAAAGGAAAAACAAGAAACTACTGATAAAAAACGGAAAACAAAAGAAAACCGGTTCAGAAAACTTCAATAAGCTTCCTGAATCCGATCAGAGATTTTCTAGGAGATTCTCAAAATTATACACTGTAGCGTGTGCGTTATCGAGTCATGGGGCTGGCCCATCTGGTGTAGCGACAGTTTGTCGCAAAGAGCGGAAAATAAGAATTTCCCATTTATACCTTGCTTTGTAAGAATTTATCGCTGGTATTTTGCAGGCTATATACAGTTCGCTGCTCCAAAAGGATGTACCATTTCTGCTGATTTATATTATTAACAGTGTATTAAAAGTTCCACGTCGGTTGGAGGTGGAGCAATTTTAGCGAATCATAACGTCAAGTGTCGGAGCTGATTTTAGCGAATCTCCGGAATGCATCTAAGGAAAT